GGTCGCTATGAGTCGGGGCCGACTCGGCGGCATATAACAACAACAACAACAGGCAAATCTGCTGCAAAAGACCTCTTTAAAGTGTTAAGGAGAAAAGACATCATTTTGAAGACTAAGGTGTGCCTACCCCGAGCCATGGTATTTTCAATTGTTATATGCGTGTGAAAGCTGGACAATGAGTAAGGAAGATAGAAGAGTTGATGCCTTTGAATTATGGTGTTGGTGAAGAATACTGAAAATACCATGGACTTCCAGAAGAAAGAGCAAATCTGTCCTGGGAGAAGTGCAGCCAAAATGCTCCTTAGAAGCAAGAATGGCCAGACTTCATCTCATCTGCTTTGGTCATGCTGTCAGAAGGGACTATTCCTTGGAGAAGGATGTCCTTCTTGGTAAGGTGGAGGGTTGAAGAAAGAGGGGAAAGCCCTCAACGAGATGGATTGACACAGTGGCTGCAATGTGGGGCTCAAGCATAGCAGGGATTGTGAGGCTTGTGCAGAACCAAGCAGTGCTTCATTCTATTGTATTCAGGGTGGCTGAGTCAGAGCCAACTAGACAGTACCGAACAATAACATTTTATATCTCATCCTTTCTCTGTTCTCCCTTTGTGATTCTAATTATACATGCCACATTACTTGATATTATTACACAAAATTGAAAATCTATTTCTTTTACATTTGTAATCATTTGCTTTTTCCTCTATCCTTTAGCTTGCATAATTTCTATTGACGTGTAATAAAGTTCACTAGTTAGGTCTTCTGCAATGTCCAAATTACTATTAATCCCATCCAATAAATGTTTGATTCTAGATATTTTATGTTTTCTTTTAAGCTTTCAGTTTCCAAAGTTTCTATATCTCTACGGAAATTCTTGTTCTACCAGAAAAAAAAAAAAAAAAAGCAAACTCACTGCCATCGAGTTGATTCTGACTTATAGTGACACACTTTGGGTTTCCTAGGATGTAAATGTTTACAGAAGTAGATTACCCAACCTTCCTTCCAAAGAGTGGCTGGTGGGTTTGAACCCACCAACTTTCTGGTTAGTAGTCAAACACCTTAGGCACTATGCCACCAGAGCTCCTTTACTCATTAAATCCATGGTTTCCTGAAGATTTTAAAAACATATTTGTCATTGTCACTTTTAAGTCCTTATTTGCTAATTTCAACATTCCTTATTGATATGTTTATGTTCTTGACCATGAGTAATAGTCTCTTGATTCTTCAGAATTTTTAATTATTTATAAGACATTGTGGATACTACATTATAGAGATTTTGGACAATGTTATCTTCTTGTGAAGAGTTTTTCATTTTTGTTTTACTAGGCAGTTAAGTTACTTCTGTATTGTCTTGATCCTGTAAAGCCTTGATTTTAGGCTTAACTAGGATAGGTCTAGGAGCCCTGGCAGCACAGTGATTAAGTATTCAGCTACTACCCAAAAGGTTGGTGGTTTGAAGCCTCTAGCTGCTCTGTGAGAGAAAAATGTGGCAGTCTGTTTCCATAAAGATTTACGGACTTAGAAACCCTATTGTTGTTGTTGTTGTTGTTTGCCGTCGAGTCGGCCTGACTCATAGCGACCCCTCCTTGGGTTTCCAAGGCAGTATCACTACAGAAGTAGGGCAATCCTTAGGATTGCCCAACCTTCCTTCGAGGAGTGGCTGATGGGTTTGAACCGCCAGCCTTCTGGTGAGCAGTCAAGTGCCTTAGGCACTATGCTACCAGAGCTCCTTAGAAACCCTATTTGTTGTTGTTATGTGCCATCGAGTCGGCCCCAACTCATAGCGACCCCTCCTTGGGTTTCTTAGGCAGTATCACTACAGAAGTAGGATTAGAAACCCTATAGAGTGGTTTTATTATGTCCTATATGGTCACTATGAGTCAGAATTGACTTGATGACAACTAGTGGTAGGATAGGTTCATTTTAGCTTTGCCTTTAGTCTTCACGTATGCCCTTAGTCAACCAAATCAAACCAAACTCACTGCTGTCGAGTCAGATCCGACTCATAGTGACCTCTCCTTGGATTTCTGAGGAGATATCACTATGGAAGTAGATTGCCCAACCTTCCTTCTGAGGAGTGGCTGGTGGGTTTGAACTACCAGCCTTCTGGTTAGCAGTCAAATGCCTTAGGCACTACACTACCAGAATCCGCCCCCTGCCCCCGCCTCCCCTTAGTCAAGAGACTTGTTTATTTCTTTTAAGATGTGACTTTAATAAGATTTCAGTGGAAAGCCCAAGTCTGTGCTTGACTCTTTCATCCTTCCAGCTGTTCATTTCCATCGGGTTCTTTGGAGTCTCATCCTATGCATGTGTAGTTAAGAAGTCTCCAAAGGATTTGAGCAGAACGTGTATGCAGATTGGAGGCTCTCTTCTGCCTCATTTTCTAGGTAATCCTGCATCAAAACTTGGGCAACTCTGACCCTGACCTTTGACTTTTCTGTCCAGTAAGACAGCATTTAACTGGTTTCTTTTCTTACAAAGGTCATATCCTCTTTAGTTGCTGCTTGTTTGGGGTCATTCTCCAATGCCTTAAAACACTATTTTTTTAATATTCTGTCTAGGTTTGTAATTATTATGGCAAGAGAGTTAGTCTAACATAATCTACTCCACTATTATCAGAAGCCAGAAGTCCCAATATCTTATTATATCACCTATTTACATTTACTGTGCCTTGGTTAACTAATATTTAAGTTCATTTACTGAGTCAGTTATTCAAGCAAATAATTTTCATAATAAAGTTATGTTCTTGGGCTACATATTCTAACTCTGAGGGCTCTAAATGAATAAATTTTATTTTGTTCTCTCTGCCATGTCATTTAACTGTGCTTAGTAAGAGGAAGAAAACTTCTTCTTTTTTTCCATGGGAAAAAGGAACTCCACCTAGAAGCCTCAGCCAGCTTCCTGAAACAATCTCCTTTGACATTCATACACTGACTCATGGCTGCTTTCTTGGGCCAGCTTGTTGCCTGACCAAGTCGTCCAGCATTCTTGATGTTTTGTTGTGTTCAGGTCCAGTTTTGCTCTTCCTCTCTGATGATGCAGAGAATATCGATGGCATACGAATCCAGTGTGCTATTATCTATCCTCCTCATCCTTTTTGAAGGAGCTCCTTCTAGAGCCCCAGCATTCTTGTAGCTTCTACTGGGGCATATTCCTTTTAGGCATCTGCCTGTCCACTTCTGGCAGGAATTCCATGTTACACCAGCACTAACCAGGTAATCAGTGTTAACTAAGTTAGAGAAAGCAGATGCAGATAGAAAAACAGAAGTGAATGTTCTGCTTTAAAAATGAGAATAATGTGATAAAAAAAATAATGAGAATAACATATCTCTGAGTACTAGAGTATAATGAAGGTTGCCAGTCATAATACCCTCCCCCTCAACCTGGCTACAGGAGCAAGAATGTGCCCTAAGTGGGTCAACCATAGTCATTTCCAAAGATTTGAACAAATAGAGCTCATTTGAAATTAGAACTAAGAGAAATTACTTCCTTTCTGGTTATAAAGCTAGAAAGATGGGAACTGATAGTTTTATTCTCATGGAGAAAGTCAATGTAAGAGACTGAGGCTAACAGGAAGAGAGGAGAGTTGAGACATGGAATAAAACACCATATGGCCACCTTAAGACACCTAGCTATGCAGAGACTGGAATATCCCTACCCTCCTATGGTCAGTTACATGGGACCAGAAATGCCCCCTGCTAGCCTTAGTTAGGGAGCTCTGGTAGCATAGTGGCTAAGACACTTGCCTGCTAACCAGATGGCTGGCGGTTCAAACCCACCAGCCACTCCTCGGAAGGAAGGTTGGGCAATCCTACTTCTGTAGTGATACTGCCTCGGAAACCCAAGGAGGGGTCGCTATGAGTCGGGTTTGACTCGACGGCACATAACAACAACAACAACAACAGCCTTAGTTAATCTAACTTAGCTTTCATCACTTATACACACAGGTCCTAGCTAACACAATCTACCATTCATTTGGCACTGTATTAAGCACTGTTTACTGTTGTTAACAAATATTTTTCACATAGACATCTTACTTCTCCAATAAGAATATAACTTTCTTAATTGTTGTAGCTTGATTTTACATCTCCTCCCCCAGCATACCCACTCAATGCTAAACACATAAGTGCTTAAAATATATCCACTGGTGATTAGTGAAAAATAAGCCTACAATGTTAGGACTAGGACTGGTCTATGACAGGTAGCAATTCTCATTAAAACAGTTCTTCTTTGTCCTGAACTTACACCCAGCTGACCTGTCCACCTATATGATCTGGGAATTTTCCCACATTATACACTTTATTTGAAACTCTGACAATTGTTTTCCTTCTATTGATTGGCTCAGCGTTCTGGATCAGGCTGTCTGTCACCTTGAACAAGATTAATAGTAAATTACATCTGCCTCTGGGTGATTGGTGCTCTTCCCTCACACTATTCCCCAGGACAACAAATATCATAACAATGTTTAATAAAGTTGAGTCTGTTTCTTGGCTAGCTAAAATGCATTTCCTAATTTTGTACTAGTCCTTATGAATGCCTCTCAAAGCTAGGTGCTTTGTCAGAGGGAATAATTACCTTCACCTGAGAAGTCAAGTTGTTTACTAAGGGTACACAAAAGGAACATAAACATTGTTTGGCTTCCCTTTACAGTTTACAAAAAAAAAAAGCAAACACTCAGACATTTGTAAATACAGTATTTATATTTTATTATTGAGTCTCAAAATTTGTTGGAGCTCTGGAAGTGAATTTAATTTAGCTGCTGCATGGGAATCAATCTCTTTAAAAGGATAAAACCAGTGGACTTGTGCTTAAACATGAATATCTGCACAGACGGAAATTCCCAAGATGCCCAGGAGCCCAGCCTTTGCACAACCTCCAGCACCAACGGCATCTGAACAGGGGAAAATTATCAAAGAAAAAGCATTAAGAAACACATTATCAGAATGCAACAAATCAATTCATTTTGTAAAATTTTGACTACAAGTTGTACATGAACCTCTAAAGAATAAATAATAGCTCAGTGGCCCAAGATTTTAGCTATACTTACTTTCCAAATGATAATAATATGTTAGCTTTAGTAAGATTGACAATTCCTAGAAAGATTGACTGGCTAAATTGTAGTTGATTACTATGGCTTTCTGTATTCATGACATCTATATGTGCCTCTTATAAGTACCAACGACTGTATTAAAAGAAAAATATCTTCATTAAAAGTTTTTTCTGAATGGTAGAAATGTTGTTAGGTACCATTGAGTCAGCTCTGACTCATAACTATCCTGTGTACAACAGAACAAAACACTGCCCAGTCCTAAGTCATCCTTAAAATCCCTGCTACACTTGAGCCCATTGTTGTAGCCACCGTGTCAGTCCATCTCATTGAGGGTCTTCCCCTTTTTTGCTAACCCTCTACTTTACCTAGCATGACATCCTATTCCAGTGAATGGTCCCTTCTGACAACAAAAGTAGACGAGAAGAAATCTGGCCGTTCTTGCTTCTAAGGAGCTTTCCAGCTGGCTGCACTTCTTCCAGGACAGATTTGCTCATTCTTATGGCAGTCCATGGTATTTTCAGTCCTTGGTTTTCTTTACTTTGAGGTGTAATCCATACTGAAAATGATAGTTTTTGATCTTCATCAGTAAGTGCTTCAAGTCTTCTTCACTTTCAGAAAGCAAGATTGTGCCATCTGCATATTGCCAGTTGTTAATGAGTCTTCCTCCAATCTTGATTCCACGTTCTTCCTCATATAGTACAGCTTCCAGATTATTTGCTCAGCATATATATTGAATAAGTATGGTGAAAGGATACAACCTTGATGCACACCCTTCTTGATTTTAAACATGAAGTATGCCCTTGTTCTCTTGAACAATCTCTTGGTCTATGTACAGGTTCCTCACGAGCATACAGTGTTGTGGAATTCCTATTTTTTGCAATATTATCCATAATTTGTTATCATCCACATAGCCAAACGCTTTTGCATAGTTAATGAAACAGAGGTAAACATCATTCTGATATTCATTGCTTTCAGCCAAGATCCATCTGATATCAGCAATGATAACCCTAGTTCCACATCCTCGTCTGAATCCAGCTTGAATTTATGGAAGTTCTCTGTCAATATACTGTTATGATCATTTTAAAATTATCTTTAGCAAAATTTTAATTGTGTGTAATATTAATGATATTATTAGATAATTTCCACATTCTGTTGGATCACCTTTCTTCAGCATGGGCATAAATAGTAGTATCTTCCAAGTCAGTTGGCAAGGTAGCTGTCTTCCAAATTTCTTGACATAAATGAGTAAGCACTTTCAGCACTGCACCCGTTTGTTGAAACATCTCAATGGGTACTCCATCAATTCCTGGAGTCTTGTTTTCTGCCAATTCCTTCAGTGTAGCTTGGACTTCTTCCTTCAATATCATTGGTTTTTGATCATATGCTACCTCCTGAAGTAGTTGAACATGGATCAATTCTTCTTTGTACAGTGACTGTCTGTGTATGTGAAACTTGAAGTTTTTCTTCAGTTCTTTCAGCTTGAGAAATGCAATGCATGTTCTTCCCTTTTGGTTTTCTAACTCCAGGTCTTTGCACATTTTATTATAACACTTTACTTTGTCTTCTCAAGCCACCTTTTGAAATCTTCTGTTCAACTCTTTTATTTCATTATTTTTTCCCTTCATTTTAGCTATTCTCCATTCAAGAGCAAGTTTCAGAGTCTTTTCTGACATCTATATTTTTTTCCTTTCCTATCTTTTTAATGACCTTTTGCTTTCTCTGTCTATGATGTTCTTGGTGTCATCCCACAAATCATCTGGCCTTTGATCACTGGTGTTCAATGCATCAAGTCTAGTCTACAGATGGTCTGTAAATTCAGGTGGGATAAAACCAAGCTCATATTTTGGCTCTTGTAGACTTGTTTTAATTTTCTTCTTTTGACTGATGATATTGAGATTCTCTATTGCTTCTTTCCACAGATGTAGTTGATTTGATTCATGTGTATTCCATCTGGTGAGGTCCCTGTATAACCCACCACTCATGTTGTTGAAAAAAATGTACTTGCAATGAATAAGTCATTGATATTGCAAAATTCTGTCATGAGATCTCTGGCATCATTTCTATCACCAAGGCCATATTTTCAAACTATTGATGCTTCTTCTTTGTTTCCAACTTTTACATTCCGATCACCAGTAATTATCAATGTATCTTGAGTGCACGTTTGGTCAATTTCAGACTGCAGAAGTTGGTAAAAATCTTCAATTTCATGAATGATGAGTGGACAGGCTGAAGTATTATATATGCCTATGCAGGGGGGAGTATGCCCATGACCACATACAGGGTTGGCTGACAATGTTTCTACAAGTGTATTTGTATGTTCTGTAAGAATTCCTAAGTGTATAGTAGAGCTGACAAGGGACAAGGTGGTAGTCACTTCATGGTCACAGCCAGCTACCCAGAGGGAGGGAGTAGTTGGACTTGTAGGTTCAGGACCATAGTCTCAGGGGACATCAAGCACAACTGGCATAACATACTACACAAAAAATTGTTCCACATCCTACTTTGGTGAGTAGCAACTATGATCTTAAAAGCTTACAAGTGGCCATCTAGATGCAATGATGGGTCTCTCTTCATCCAGAGCAAAGAAGAGTGAAGAAAACCAAAGACACATGGAAACAATTAGTCCAAGGAACTGCTACACCATGAAATCCTCAGCCTATATGACTATGAGACCAGAAGAACTAAATGGTGCCAGCTACCACTGTCAACCACTCAAAGGGGGATCTATGTAGGAGATCCTGGGTAGAGTGAGACAACAATGTGGAAATAAACTCAAAATCATAAAAAAAGAAGAAAAAAAAAAAAAAAACAGGTTTGCTGGTCTTATAGAGCCTAGTGGAACCTCTGAGACTATGGCCCCTAACTGCCCTTCAGGTCTGGAATAGAACTCACTCCTGTGGCTTCCAGCCAAACAAAAGACAGACATACAAAAGACAGGTATATGAGCTGAACATATATATTAGGTAGATACACTCTTTGGAGAGATCAAACATGGGATATTAGAAGGGCTGTGTATGCCCAGGGAGATAGCTCACAGGGTCAGGAATGCATGAAGAGAAGGACACAGAGATGAGGTTACTATGAGGAGGAAGTGGGAGGGGAGTTGTTGCCCTGTGGGAAATTGCAGTCAATGTCATAAGACAAAGTGTATGTGAGTTGCTGTATGGAAAGTAAACTTTCACCCAAATCACAATAATTTTTTTTTTTTTTTTTTTTACATCTTCAATTTCTTCATCTTTGGTTTCAGTGATTGGTATGTAAATGTGTCTAATAGCAGTATTTATCGATCTTCTTTGTAGGCGTATGGATATTATCCTATCACTGACAGCATCGTACTTCACGATAAATCTTGAAATGCTCTTTCTGAGGATGTATGTGATGTCATTCCTCTTCAATTTGTCATTCCCAGCATAGTGAATCATAGGATTGTCTCATTCAAAATGCCCAATACCAGTCCATTGCAGCTCATAAATGCCTAGGATATTGATCTTAATCTGTTTCATATTTACAATTTCCAGTATTCCTACATTCATAGTTTGTACATTCCATGTTCTAATTATTAATGAATGTTTAAAGCTGTTTCTTGCCATTTGAGTCATGCTGCATCAGCAAATGAAGGTCTTGAAAGCCTTACTCCATCCACATCATTAAGATCAACTCTAGTTTGAAGAGGCAGCTCTTCCCAGTGGTATTTTGAGTGTCTTCCAGCCTGAAGGGCCCATCTTCCAGCACTATATCAGTGTTTCACTGCTATTCATAATATTTTCAGTGGACAATTTTTTCAGAAGTGGATAGTTTGGCGTTTCTTCCCAGTCTGTCTTAGTCTGGAAGCTTGCTGAAATCTATCTATTATGGGTGACCCTACTGGTATTTGAAATGCCAGTGACATAGCCTCCAGTTTCACAGCAATATACAAGCTGCAACCATATGACAAACTGACAGATGAATGATGGAGTATAAATGTAGTGAATGCTAATAGTCTTCTTCATTATCTCCTTTCCTTTACTCCAGGAAATTCCTTCTACTGTGTTTACTCTGTTGGTCCTACTTCTTTTTCACTCTGGCCACTGTATCATATTTAGAAACTTTTGCAAAAATACCAGCAATGACATGTCATGTGTTAATGTGGATGAACCAGGGGTTTTAGTCCTTGTCTATCAATATACTTCACCTGCTATTTTCTGGAACGATTTTATTCCAGATTTTGTGAATGTTTCTTAGTGACTTCCTTTTTATTATTTCCAAGATATGAAAATCTAAGAGTTTTTTCCTACTTTAAATGTTTACATGTGATAGGATATCAGAATCCAATAGCTTTTCTTGCCATCTCAGAAATATTTTTTTTCATTCCATCCTCTGTGTTTACTTGTCAGCTTCTCCAGTAGACTGTGTTCCTTGGAAGCTAACATTTAATTTATCTTTAACCTTAATCTTTAGCACAATTCCCACACATTATAGGTATTTATCTCCCAAAGTAAACCAGATTGAGTCAAGGTTTACATTTATTTATATTTCACACAACACCTAGCAGACCTCATGGTACATTGTGAGCTTTCAGAAAATATTTGATGGATGAATGATTAGTTGGTACTCACATTTCTTTTCAACAACTTCTCCCTTGTACAAGGGGACATGATTGCAGAGATTCTTAATGGGTGACCCAAACAGGAACCAGTTCACATCTGTGATCAGAGACTCCAGAGGATTGTACTTGACCCAGGTGTATTTATTGGAGAACATAGTGTTCAGAGCCTAGATTAGTGTAACAGAGTAGTATAAGGTTTAACAAATTAATGCCATCTGGTATGCCTTATTCTAAATTTTGACTTATTATTTCTCTTTCAGATTATTCAACCAAAGGTGGCTAGAGCCTAAAGGCACCATCTCTTTCTGAAAACTTTGTCTGCAAAAAAGTCTCAATATAACTAATGTTATTTTACTCCTGGTGTCACTGAAATGCAAACATGGTAAGTTCCATGCCAAAGATGACATGGAAAGGAAGTTAAGGAGGAAGAATTAAACCCCAGGTCTCTAGCTTCAGTGCAGTGTTGGTTTATTCTCACTAGATTATATTGTTTCTTTATGTCTGTGTGTCATTGAATATTTTAACTTCACTCATTTTCCTGACAACTGCTAATTCTTAGATTCCTGGTCTAAGAAAACAGGTTGTTTAATTCTTTCCATAAAGATATTGTACTTTATTATAAATTCTTGTATTTAGAGCTTTGTGGTGGAAATCAAGTGAAGAGAAGTATTATTCCTCTTGAAAACAACAAAATTGTTGTAAGGTATAATATTATCCATTGTGGTTATAATATTATGATTTTCTCCATATGATGGAAGATTCTCAAAGGATGAGGGTCCATCCTTTCTCCTTAGGCATTGGTTTTGCCTATTTCAAGAAAAGAAACTATTCTAGTAAGGAACACTAGAATTACCTGCCTCTCGTAGATGTACCGTTTGAGTTGGTCCAGAGCAGGAATATTTTTATGGTCCATTTTCAGGATGTAGCAGGCCCTTCGGGAGAGCAGCCTGGAAGCGATGTAGCCCTGGGGCAGCAAGAACAGAGTTACTGCCCCTCCCATTTCTGTGGGCTCTGAACTTGATGAGGATGTCTGAGCCTTGGAGGAAAGACTTGGGTGTGCACAGTGAGTGTATGTAATTGCTTTATAATTTGCAATCAGTTCTACTTGGCTTCTTGAAGTCTGCCAGTGCAAACTAACCAGCCACTCCTAGGAAGGAAGATCAGGCAATCTGCTTCTGTAGTGATACCACCTCAGAAAAGCAAGGAGGGGTCTCTATGAGTCTGATCTGACTCGAGAGCAGTGAGTTTTTTTTTTTTTTTATTGTTGTTGTTTGTTTGTTTATTTTGCATATTATTTGTATTTGTTTGCTTGTCACTTATGCTTTTTTTTAAGTTGTGCAAACCTATGGCTTATAATCCATTTTTCATGTGATGGCACTAGGGATTATAGTCTGGGATTTGAAAAGACTGAGAAGTAATATCTCCACAATTTGGAGCAGATACAATGTTCTTTAGAACAGAATCATCCTGCTCAATGTGATGGTACTAGCCACATGTGGCTATTTAAAATCAAATTTAAATTAAATTAAATTTTTGTACCTCCATTGCACATTTCAAGTGTTTAATATCTACAACTGGTTAGTGAATATTATATTGGAAAGTGCAGATATAGACTATCTCCATCATGTAAGAAAGTTCTATTGGGCAGAGTTGGTTTAGAAAGTCTCCTAAACACACCCACACCACACTCACCCCCTACCATACACATGCATACATTTTTCATCTATTCTTTTCTTCTTTACCATCTTATCTGTTTCTCTAATTTTCTCCATCCTTTCCCCACCTTAAACCCAAGCTACCTAAAGGCAAGATAAGTTGGAGGAAGTTAGGAGTGGAAAAGCAATGAAAAACAATGACTTTGGCATCCCGAAAGACAATTTTTCCATAGAATCCCAAATAATTATACAGTCGTGTTTTTATGCTGGAAGTCTTCTAGCTCCTATTTTTCATTTCTTACAAGCTACTAGTTATGAAATTCAAAAGTAGACTGAGGTCAAGTCTAATGATAGTGAAAGAGTCTTAAACCAAATCTTCACCATTCTATATACAGGCAGACCCCAGGTTATGAAGAGATCTATTCCTAAACATGTCTTTAAGAATTTTGGGGTCAGAAGCTCTGGTGACATAGTGCCTAAGGCATTTGACTGCTAACCAGAAGGCTGGTGATTCAAACCCACCAAGCACTCCTCAGAAGGAAGACTGGGCAATCTACTTCCGTAGAGATACCACCTCAAAAACCCAAGAAGGAGGGGTTACTAAGAGTCAGAACTGACTCCACAGCAGTGAGTTTGGTTTTTGCTTTTAGGTCAGTTAAACAAGCATATACATTTAGTATTTAGCTTTACTTTAGTGCAAGAGATTGAAGACTTTTCAATAATTTAAAAACCTGCACATGCAGCCAATGAAGGTAGTTGTGACAAAGAATTTGCTGTGAGTAGGGGTTGGTTCAATACTTTCAAGGGAAGGCAAATTTATGTAACATTAAAGGGTAAGCAGGAGTTGTCTGCCCAACCACTCCTTGGGAGGAAGATTGGGCAAGCCACTTCCTTAGTGATACAGCCTCTGAAACCAAGGAGGGGTCACTATGAATTGGATCCAACTCTACGGCAGTGAGTTTGATTTTTTTTGGTTAGGAGTTGTCTGTAAGTCCAACACTAATAATGGTAACTGGAGACTGCCTGTATTTAAAGACACTTTTGGAATTTCCCTGACACCTGCTTAAAAACTATTTTAGTACAATTTCTTTTTAAACTGTCTCTTGTAAATACCCTGTCCTTTCATATGTGTCATGGCACTCCCAACCAAAAGCAGAAAGCATATGAGGAAGTCTACAAGAAAAGAAGTAAAAGATGTCCAAAGATGCAATGTGATGGACTAAGACCAACACATATACATGGTGCATAGCTGTGCCTAGTCAAAAGTAAGCTCACAATTAGTACTGCTAGAATAAATGGAAAACAAGAACAAAACGAAACAATGGGTGAAGGGCAGATAAGTCTTCCAAGTAAGAATCTGAGACTTGTTGTTAACATTGATAACTAGAACATGGAAATAATTTTATGTTTTTAGTTAACATACTTTTCTTCTTGTAGAAGAAATAGGGCTTACTGCAAATCTTATATCCACAATTAAATAGGTTGAGTTGTTCTAGCTTTCCATATTTTGCAATTATTTGTCTTCATGTTTGTTCGTTTTCCTCATGTTTTGTATTAGAAGCCCTATTTTATTCATTCACTCATTCATTCATTCATTCTAAAAATAGTTTTGAGAGCCTATGTAGCAGGCACTGCTTTGGCTACCCTTCTAGACACTTTCTGAGCCCTCAGTGAGACAATGTTATCACTCTTCTAATTTCTAGCTGAAAAGGTCAAGCAAATTTGTATGGTTCGAGGCATATTTTTTCCTAGAAATGCTTTTATTTGTTTAATTGCTTGATTATTTAAAAAGGAGAGCAAAAGTGAGGAAATTATTTTAAAATGGCAATATAGACACAAATGTATGATAAACCATGGCTGTCCCCATGCTATTTAAAATACAGGTCCTGAAGAGTTTGAAGATTCCCTCACTGCTTACATGTTTGTAGTCAAAAATCGTGGTGGAGGAGCACGACCCTGCATGGATGTTGATGGTGGCGATATTTTTTTCATTATCAATTGTCATTGTCTCCTGAACGGTACGACCATTGTTAAGCGGGCTGATGATGTTATAAACCTAGATTTACAACAAAGACATAATGATTCTTCTATAAATTATACGCATTTGGAAGTCAACCACCCTCCCTCACAAGCAAAATAAAGCTTTCTATGAACAAGAAATTAGTGTCTGAAACCTCTCTCCTGAGATCCCAGATCAAAAGCCCATTCTAAAATAAGAATGGGAGCTCTGGTGACATAGTGCCTAAAGCACTTGACTGCTAACCAGAAAGTTGGTGGTTCAAACCCACCAGCCACTCCTCGGAAGGAAGATTGGACAATCTACTTTGGTAGAGATACCACTCGGAAACCCAAGGAGGGGTCACTATGAGTCAGGGATGACTCGATGGCACATAACAACAACAGCAACAAAATAAGAATATAAAGCTTTTCCTCATGGTTTACTGTACTATATATGAGAATAGCAATGACACCAGAGGAGAAATGAGGTTGACTACATTTTAAAATAATAGTTTACATTTTTTAAGGTATTGCAATTAGGGAGAAATAATCAACCTTATTGTTTTCATTGTTGGTTATTTTGGAGATTCCACCCCAAATGTTGTTATGTTGTTGTTAAGTGCCGTCAAGTCGTTTCTGACTCATAGCGACCCCATGCACAGCAGAACGAAACACTGCCCGATCCCACGCCAGCCCCACAATCCCTGCTATACTTGAGCTCATCATCGCAGCCACTGTGTCAATCGATCTCGTTGAAGGCCTCCCCCTCTTTCGTTGACCCTCTACTCTACCAAGCATGACATCCTTCTCCAGGGAATGGTCCCTTCTTACAACATGACCAAAATAGGTGAGACGAAATCTGGCCATTCTTACTTCCAAGGATCCACCCCAAATAGAGCCTATGAACTCTGTACCGTCTTTTAGATTTCACTGTGTTCCCTTCCCTTTACTCTCCCAACACCTCCAATAGATAAATTCCATAACAAACCTACTCACCTCATTTCCGTGAGATTGTGTCCCGAAGGTGGCAAGTAGGATCAGACATGCCACCTGAAAAACAAACCAGTCATACAATTGCTTACAGAATCATCAAGAGTGGAACCATGAAGGGACCCTAGGCAGGAAAATCAAATATCTAGAATGTGCCTATGTCTGTAGACACTGATGAGTGGTCATAGATAGTCAATAGTCCACTTCCAAAGTGACAAACACATACTCACTCATTTAACACGCATTTTTTAAGTTCCTAGTATTTGTTAGACAAAGACTTCTACCTTTTCCATTCAATTCCCCATCCTTCCCAACACTGTAATCTTCACATGTTCTTAGGCCAGGAGCAATTTTGGGCAGTAAAGCCTTGTAGAAGGATTCATATTACTGTGGGAAAACCCTGGTATGAATCACATTGGCTTTGGATTATAGGAGTCAAGTTGCATCTCCTGTTACAAAATTCCTTTACTTTTGGAGACGGAAAAGGTAAGACAGATTTAAAGTGAATTAGTGAGTGATAGAAATGCAATGCATTTCTAAAGAAAATCAGGAAGGTTGAATGCTTGGGGGACGTCACTAACTTTTGAAGCTAAGTTCAAGAAGGACCTACATATTCTCCTACAAACCATCATGAGGTGATACTATCGGACAAGTGTCAGGTCAGGGACCATGAGATTAACATTGAGGTAGTTCTGATATTTTTCTATACTTATATAAGAGGCAGATCCAATATGCTGACTCCTGTTTTAGGCTCTCTCTTCTCCTGAGCATCACAGTGTACTGCACTATCATTGAAAACTACTGATGGAAGGTCTGTGGGAGAGGTAGACATTTTTTAAAGTGTCAGTAGGATCTTTCTCCTTCCTTTTGCATCCCAGCCCTCACATTTCTATCCTGGTGACTGGGGGTAGCCCCTAGCAAAGACCTATATGCAGATATCCACTTGCATACTCACAGAGGGGCCTATCTTCTCTCACCCCACTTCAGCTCTAATAACCTCTGAGGCTCACATACATATTATTTAGTGAACCTAAAGCAGAGGCTTGAACAAATGGATGGAGAAGCAACCATCTTCATGGTATGATTAGAGAGAACTAGGGAAGTGCCCTCTGCCCCCAAATAATCACCAATCCAACGCCACTCGTTATAAATTTGCCCTTCAAGGTTAAGTCTGCTCTTGGAAAATGGATAGTTCCCTAGAAGAGCTAACACTTTAAGCTGACAGTCTTTAACATCTTACACACTCCCTCAGTTGCGGAATAAGAATAAGAAATAGACACTTTGGAGGACAGAGACTGGAGGAAGAAATTTCTTTCTGGAATCATAGTCCCCCATCCACAAGACACTGCAGTGTGAAACTATGGAAGGCTGGGACAATGTAAGACAGCTGGAGGAGTAGGTGTGTTGATGGGAGGAATGCTTCCCTTAGGAGTGAATTAAGACCAGATGGGTAGCCAATGAACAGCCTCTGGCTGCTTAAATTTCCTTTAGGCTCTGAGATGTATACATTTCAAGCCTAAATTTCACATTTCCTAGCTTGAGAAAATCACCTTCCTTTCGGGCCTCAGTCTCCCCATAAAATGGGGAACAATACCACACAGCTCAAAAGGTTGTTTCAGCAAATAGGTGAAGTTATTCATGTGAAATGTTTTAGTATAGTGCCTAGGGCACTTGGGAAATGCCAACTGCTTTTATTATTATTATTATTATTTTCATTGTTGATATTATTACTTTTTAAATCACCTGTTATATTTTGGATAGCAAGTGCAGTTGTTCTAAAATGCCAACAATCTCCTTCAAAGTTCATAATAATGAATTTTATTAAAAAATCCTTCAAATTAAAATTTTCTAGCTATTTCCAAAATTTTTTATTTCTGCTTTTTTTTTGGAAACATCTCAAAAAATCAACAATGGAAAAATAGATATTCAACTTAATATTTAACATTATTCCTGTCAAATAAACTTTAATTCAATCACAGAAGCTTCATTTTAAACTCTACTCTTTGAAACTTGCATAGTGCTTGTCCTGAAATTCAAGGCATATTAGACAAGAACATTCTCTGCAAGCAGCTACCACAAGAGTATGAAGAAGCATAAAGAAGTACTCACAAGGATTTTCATTTTGCTTGCAAGGAGGAAGAATGAGCTGGAGCAAGTGAAACTGCCCGGTGCAGCTTCGACCCTTTATATTGGCTTTAAGGTGTGAAAATCTCTTCTTGGAACTATCACTTTGGAAATGGCCACATCCATATCACTGACACACCCAGCAAACTCCTTTATCAGGATTGACACTCAATCACTTAACCTGATATCAATTTGTCAGGAAAATTCATCACTTGCTTACTCTGTAAATATTCCCTGCTTATCTGTTCTGTTTCAACTGAGATTTCAAATTCCACCCTTTAAAAATATTTCAAGGTGCTCATTCTTTATATATATTTTATATCCACGAGCCACTCCTCGGAAGGAAGGTTGGGCGATCCACTTCCGTAGTGATATTGTCTGGAAAACCCAAAGGGGGGTTGCTATGAGTCAGATCCGACTTGATAGCATGAGTTTGGATTTTTGGTATATATATATATATATATATATATATATAAGTTCATATTCCAAATATCTCTTCATCATGGTAAAATTCTTGCTGAAGACCTGAGTTGTACTCCCACCCCATGTCTTGCTTGTTGAACTCTTCCACCCAAGGAATGGATGTGAGACTAGAGGTGAGAATGGTGTCTGAGGGTCTTGCTTTGAGAACAAACAGCTTTATGACTTTGTTTCTCCTCCCTTTTAGAGATGATGCCAAATTCCAGAGACAGATGAAAAAACATTTTTCATAGAACACTGTCCAGTTATTGGAGTTAACCATTTTTTTTTTTAATATTGAGTCACCCTAAACTACTTGAAAATCAATAATTTATATCTCCAGCTATCTTGAGGACCACTGAGAAATTTTCAGATTAAAAAAAAAAGTGGAAGAATCAAATTTAATTCAAGCAATTTTTATAATGGCACAATTAGAAATGGCTAGCTAGTATTAGGGTGAGATCATGAACTCAGAAGGTGGGAAAACAACAAAAATATTCATAAATTGCAAAAATTATAGAAGACTGAGAATCACTACAATAAGCAAAGATAGTGTGAGTGTCTTCCTTGTTCTGCAGCAGGAGCAACTTCATAACCAGCAGTTTTTTGGTTTTTTTTTTTTTTAAGTGCACTTTTAAAATGTGCATTTGGACAATTAGGGGGTTACCAAGTTCCCTGGAGTTCCCCTACCCTGGGTATTCATCTGGGGTGGGTTTAAAATGTGCAACTTTATTAACTCTTTCTATAAGATCTGAAGCAAAAGGAATTACAATTCTATAGTGCATCTGCAAATTTTATCTCATCTCTGGTTCCAAAGACAAAAAAGCAAGTTATCTCCCAGCCTATAGGTATTAGGACAGACAAAGATGTAATTGTGCTGCCTTTTTGATTACTTGCTGGGTAACTTCTTACACTGCTGAGATGGAGGCAATTAACAAAGAGGTTTCTGCTTCCAAAATATTCCTACTATTAGGAATAGAAGTCTTTTGAAAGTAGATTACTTCTGGGTAGACTTCAACCTCCAACTTTTCAGTTAACAACCCAGCACATTAACTATTTGCGCTGGTATGAAATAGTTCAGTATTTTCATATATATACTTGTATGTGTGTGTGTATTTGTATATATAGATAGATAGATGTATATGTGTGTGTATGTGGTTATAGAGAACGAGAGAGAGGTGAGAAAGAGGGAGATTTATCTCAAGGAAATGGTTCACACAGTTGCAGAGGCTAGCAAGTCTCAAGTCCATGGGTGAGAGACATCAGGCTGGAGGCTCTTCCTAACTCATGTAGCTGCAGGGCCTGATGAGCTGAAGATCAGCAAATAATATAGCAGGCTGCTGGCTTCAGGCTGCCAAACCAAAACCAAACTCATTGTCATCAAGTGAATTCCAACTCATAGTGACTTCCACTGGGTTTCTGAGGTGGTAAATCTTTACAGAAGTAGATTGTCCCACCTTCCTTCCATGGAGTGGCTGGTGGGTTTGAATCACTAACCTTCTGGTTAGCAGTCAAATGCCTTAGACACTGTGCCACTACAGCTTCTGGCTTCAGAGTCTAACATTTCCCAGATCTGCAGGCAATCTGGCAATAGTTCAAGTCCAAAGAACCAGAGGTCATATGATGATGAGCTAGATGCAAGATCTAGATTGAGCAAAAATCCATAGAGCTTTGCCAGAATGTCCATATATATTGGATGCAGGCCCACACCCTCAGGGAAACTCTCTTTCAATTGACTGACTGCTCAAAGCATATCTTATCATGAATGTGATTACGTTATATCATATCTCACCATGGGATGACATCATAAATGCCAAACCACTGAGAATCATGGTCCAGCCAAATTGACCCACAACTTTAACCATCACAAGCATCCAGTTCTCCTTGTTGTTGTAGCTAGGTGCAGTCTAGTTGATTCTGATTCATAGGGACCCCGTGTACAACAGAACAAACACTGCCCTGTGCTGCACCATCCTCACAAACCTTGCTGAGCTTCAGGCCATTGTTGGCAGCCACTGAGTCAATCCATCTTGTTGAAGGTCTTCCCCTTTTCCCCTTACCCTCCACTTTACCAAGCATGATATCCTTCTCCAGGGACCAGTCCAATATACCAGAATCAGTTGCCGTGGAGTCAATTTCAACTCATGATGACCCCCATGTGTGTCAGAATAGAACTGAACTCCATAGGTTTTTCAGTAGCTGATTTGTTGGAAATAGATTACTATTAGGTACACTTCAACCTCCAACCTTTCAGTTAGTAGCCCACCACTTTAACTATTTGCACTAATATTCAATAGCTCAGCCTTATCCTATTAATTTATAGTGATGTGTAGCTTCCATGTGTGTGTTGGTCTGTTTGTTATCTCTCTATTATATCGATCCTTTTGTCTATCCAAATGACAGTATCTCACAGTCTTGATTTCACTGTTTTTATAAGTTCTGAGATCTGGTAGAGCAAATCCCTTCATCTTATTTTTCTTTAAAGTTGTATTGGCCATCCCTGAAGGTTTTTTCTACTGTGTCTTTGTTTTTTTTCTTATCACTGATTTCTACTTTTATCATTATCAGTTTCCTCCTTCCATTTCCTTCAGAATTAGTCTTTGGTTATTTTTCTAACTTTTGCTGAATGTTTTACCCATTTATGTTCAAACTTTCTTGTTTTTTAATTTTAAGAAATGCATGTAAGAACATATACTTGCTTCTAAGTACAATTTATATGTATGACATGACTATTTTGATGAATTCTAAATTTTTTAACTCCCACTGTGATTTTTTTCTTTAACCCATAAGTTGTTAAGGGTATATTTTTCAGTTTCCACTGTGTGATTGATGATAAAAGTTGTGTGTCAATTTGGCTGGACCATGATTCTCAGTGGTTTAGTAGTTAAGATATCGTCATTCCCCATGAAGAGATCTGATATAATGTAATCACATCCATGATGAGATCGCTATGAGCAACCAATCATTTGACAGGGAGTTTCCTTAGGGATGTGGCTTGCATCCAATATATATGGATATTCTGTCAAAGCTCTCTAGCTTTCTACTCAATCTGGATGCTTAATCTGGTTCACCATCTGACCTCTGATTTTTTGGACTTGAACCTGTGGCCTTCCATATTGCCTGCTGATCTTGGGATTGTTAGACTCCTCAGCCTATGAACCAGCATCATGCTGTAGTGCCTGCTAATCTTGAGTTTGTCAGCCCCTGCAGCAACATGAGGTGAGTCAGGAGAAGGTTTCAGCTTGATGTCTGATCCATGGACTTGGTACTTGCCAATCTCTACAACCTTGTCTTCCTCTCATGAAATTACCGAAGGTCAGACACCATTGATCCCACACCCTTTTTGAAGTATTCTTCACCAACAGAATAATTCAAATATATCAATTCTTCTTCAATCTTCCTTATTCATTGTCCAGGTTTTGCATGCATATGAAGCTATTAGAAATGCCATGGCTTGGGTCATTTTAGTCTTCAAAGTTACATCTTTGCTCTTTAACATTTTAAAGAAATCTTTTACAGGAGATTTTCCCAATGCATCATGTCATTTGTTTTCTTGACAGCTGTTGTGGAATGAAGTGTGATAGTTGGAGCTGTGTGTCAACTTGGCTGGACCACAATTCTGTGTGGCTTAAGCTGTTGTGATGTGGTTATTCCATGATAGGATCAGAGGATTATGTTTTGAGCAGGCAATCTGTTGAAAGGGAGTTTCCCTAGGGGTGTGGCCTGCTTCCAGTATAGCTATGGACATTCCGGGAAAAGAGACATTTTTCTGTGGATCAGGATTCTGTTGTGCTGCCTACAACTGTCTATGAGTGAACATCCACCATTTGGCCTGGAGATCTTGGATTCATCATTCATTGGAGTCAACAGCTGGTGTACTTCCTGCCAGCCTTGAGCTCCTCAGCCCCTGCAGCTGCAAGAGTCAGGAAAAGCTTCCAGCTTGATGTGGAAAAGCCTCCAGCTTGATGTTTGATCCAGGAACTTTGGACTTGCCAGCTTCTGTAAGTGTGTGAGCCATTTTCCTCAGATAAACTTCTCTATATATACATATACATATACATATATATA